TGCTGAGAGAATCTACAGGAGGTGGGGTAACTTATAGAAATGGAAGGTGGTAACAATTGATTTGCTTCAGTTGTTTAAAGTCCCTCCCTTCAGCCCAATTTCAAAGGTCAGGCTGTTTGGTTCAGTCTAAACATTTAGTAGGCCTCAGCTGTGTTCCAGATCTCTTAATAGCTACTTGTTAAACACTCATTGACCTCCAGGAGATAATGGTCTAGCTGGGGAGACAGGCACACAAATTGATGAGTTAATATAATAAGGTGATTAGTGATAGCCCAGGGTGGGTAACACTTATAATTTGTGCAATGGTGTATAGGTATGTTACACTCCCATTAGAAAAAAAAAAAAAGAAGGTAAGGTAGCTACAGAGAGCTCTCACAACAAACATAAAGGACATGTACTTCGACCTAGAGATTCAGGGAGAGCTTTCTGGTGTAGGTGACACCGGTGATAAATTTTGCAGGATGTTTAAAAGCTAGAGAGGTGAAGGGAATAGGTGAAGAGGAGAATCGGTGGGGGGGGGGAGGGGGCAGGAAAAAGGAGAAGAGCAGAACAACAGGAACAAATCATAAAGGCAAGGAGTATGCAGAATACTCCAGCATCCTGGCAGGACCAGAGAGTGACCCGCTAGATGGAATGTCCAGGGACTGAGGCTAGCAGCTGGAAGCGGGCCATTCTAAGGGACTTGGTGATTCAGAATGACTGAAAGGCTTTAGGGAATACCATGGTCAGCTGTGTGATGTGAATTTCAATTGTTTCTCTGGAAACGGCAGTCCTGAGGATTACTTAAAACAAGGGGAGGTGCGGTTGTTATAAAAGGGGGGGGATCAATTATACATCACCATAGTCATCTGGGAAAAATAAGACAAGGGTTTTCATTAGGGCACAGTTATTGAAGATGGAAAAGAGAAGATGAATTTAAAAAGTATTTAGGAGACAAACGTGGAAATCAGTAAATGGGTTTGTGGGGGGGGGGCGGTGTATAAAGAATGATATCTAAAATAGGGATAGCAAATAAACTCATGTTGCAAGTTAACTCGAATTCGTCTTGAGGGCTACCAGTCAAAAAATCCCCGAAGCCACAACAATCTCGCAGGAACAAGCAGCGGAAAGGACCTGTGGATGGGGCGGGAGGTGGGGAAGTTGGGCACCTCCTACTTCCTGATGGAGGGTGACTGCTGATTTCCGACCAGAGCAACTCAAGACTGTCGGGACCATGAATCGTAACTGGGCACATGGGAAAGGGTTCACTTTCAGGTCAGGGAAAAGTGAGGAGTCTCGTTTCAGCCACGCTGATTTTGAGGTGCCCGCGAGACATGCATGGGAGACATTCAGTGGCATGTTGACCACTTCAGCCTACAACTCAAGGGCAATCAAAACCAAGAGCGCTGATTTGAGCGTCAGAAGGAGAGGAAACTGGTGAAGAGATTTCCCCATGAGAACACACACAGACAGAGAAGGCCAAGAATGGAAGCTTCTGGAACACTGAGGTTTGAGGGAAAATCAGAGAAGCCCACTAAGGAGACATAAAATCGAAGGAGGACAGGGCCATGGATGCCATGAGGTCAGACTCAAGACACATGGGTGGGATTTGTGACAGTCAACAGTACCAAAAGCAGCTGATGGCCCATTAAGATAAGGTCGAAACAATATTCTTTAAAAGCTTCGCTAGGCTACTGGCGGAAAGAAGCCAGGCATCGTGGGTGGAGGGTGTGCCAACGGTTGGTATAGACTGCTCTCACCGAAAGCCTAAATGAGAAGATGAGAGATAAAGCCCTAAAATGGAAAGATACAACAGGAGCTGGGGGACCCCGGAAGAAGGTGCCCAGTGCCAGCTGCCCAGGGCTTCCTCTGCCCAGATACCCACAGGGAAGGTGGCAGGCGTCTTCCTACTGACCCTCTTACGAGCCCCCTCTGCATACCTTATTTTCATCTGAGGTCTAGGCTCCTGTTTACAGGGAATGAGCTACACAGAGCCAACCATCTGTGCTGTCCTTGCAGGCGTGAGCCACTACCCCACAGACAGGCGCCTGCTCTGCTCAGCCTTGTCAGCTCCTACTGACTACAGGCAGAAACTGTCTGGCTTGACAGTGGGCAATAACTGCAAACTTCCATTGTGACAACAATGAAGAAAAGTTCTGTGAATGCCCATGTTTCTCTGCCACCAGACAGTACCGTTTTGCATGCAGGGAGACCTCAGGAAAAATACAGGACTGCCCAGCCCTAACACACAAACAAAAATAGGACACAAACAAAGCAAAGGAGAATGGAAATGTGGACTAAGAGCAAGCAGTTAAAAGTGTGCATAAAGCAAAATATCAAGTGCATCATGTAACAGATAGAGGACTGTGAGTCACCCAGGCTAACCCACAACTATTCTATTAATAATCAGCATTACCACCACAGGAATTCCAGTGCTGCAGCTGAAGTACGATTGTTTTTCAGAAACATGTGTTGCAACAAATGAGGATCAATTCTTTGAAGGGCAGCAAAACTAAGACATTGGGGGCGAGACAGAAGGAAAGGATCCGAAGCAGGAAAAACGCAGTACTAGCTATATTCGTTTCAGAAACCTATCCCTCTCTTAAGCTTAGTAACAACAGATTTTGGAACCCTTTCCAGTAAGGGAAGTCCTGCAGCCTTACATGCTAACTACACGAGCAATGAAAACACGCTTACATTCTGAGGAGGGCCTTGTAAAAGGGCCGCGTAAAGAAGGCATCCAGTAGGTACTGGTGTATCAGCGCCAGGCCCAGGATCCTGCCGCTGAACCGGAACCTGCAGAGGAGACACACGCACGCGGTCACTTACACCCCATGGACCAGGTTCTAAATCGTTTCACAGGATTTTGACCATCTACGTTTGTGCAAGATCAACTGCCTCCCGGGCCGCGGGCGTGTGTGTGCCCTCTAGGCTGTGTCTTCCCGAGGCCAATAGTCACACCTACGAGTTGGAGGAAGGTGTCTCGCTCATATTTACAGACACGTTGCTCCCCCTTCCCCCGTGCCAACAGCGTCTGCTATCTGCACCCGCATGGCCACCGGGAGTCCCCTGTGCGCACTCAGCGAAATTCCCCCAACCGCTTCCAAGTGACCGAGAGAATGAGGCCGGTCGTGGAGGAGGAAACGCTGTCTTCTCGTCTGTTTGCATGAATACGAGAGGATTTCTCTCATCCAAACCCAGCAGCAATCCCCCTTGGAGAAAACCCCAGTCTCAGAGTGAGATCGTGCCTCTCCCTGTGCTCTCTCAAGCCCCGCCCCGACCACTGTCACCGCCAAGAGCGATGCATGTGGGCATTTGCGGGAGTTTCCTCCTGGCACATTCTGTTCCCTAAAACTTCAAGGCTCACGTCCATTCTGAATCACTTTGGAAACTTTACTAAATATGTCTGTGATGACTGGGCTTGCTGACTTGAGATGGACCCTCGTTTTCTCTTTCAAAAGTACTTCGTTTCCAGCTCTTCAAAGGTCGGATGCCTTCTCAGAGCGTGAGTCCACCGGGCTCCCTCCTGCCCGTGGAACAGGAGGGTTCGCAGCCACCCGGGGACAGATGTCCGGCAGCTTTGTTTGTCCTTCTTTCCGCTGGTGTTAGCACAACTGCAACAGCTTCGGTTGGGAGGACTCCAAATTGGAGCCAAACGGAAGTTCATTTGAAACATAAGTCCTAAAAGTGATGCCCTCCACCCACCAAGACGAACTTCATGACTCAATTTTTTTTCATGAGTCCTACTCAGGGTTTTTTTGTTGTTTGTGTGTGTGTGGAGGGGGGGGGATCACTATCAGTGAAAATGAGCAGAAACAAGTAAACTGGGTTATAGAACTAAAGTCTGTGCATGCAGGAATTTTTTAAAACCGTAAGGACGTTTAGTCAGAGCACAATCGGGGATTTTCAGAATAAATAATGCCCAGACGGGACTCCTGTGCCACTTGTCCTTGGTGACCGTGTGTGAGAAATTAGAAAAGGGGCAAACCCAGGCCACAGACTTCAGGTGGCTAATCGGGTCCGAGCGGCCACTGCTGTGAGTCCACAGCCTGCCCTTCTGCCTTCAGTCGCTCCAGCCCCTCTCCCTCCCCGTGTTAGCCGCTGCCCAAGGGCAGCTCTAGAAGCTGCCTGACCTCGGGGGCAGGACTTTGCCCTACTCACCCTCACCCCCCGGAGCTCAGGGAGCAGAGAGGGGCCTGGGGATCTCGCCGGGAACCTAACATCATCCATAACTTTCATCGGATGGGAGAAACCCTTGGATTCTACCCAGCTCACTTAAAATTGGTCCAAAGGAACACAATCTATTCCTGCTTGAGACTGACAAGAAAAATCAGAGTCAAATGAGATGTTTAATTGAAAATATGGCCCTACCCGGTTCGGGTTTGATTCCAATTCCGGGCACAGACCTCGGTTGCAGGCTCAATCCCTGGCCCTGGTCAGGGTGTGCGCGGGAGATGACCAATCGATGTGTCTCTCTCACACATCAACCTTTCTCTCTCTCTGCCTCTCCTCCTCCCTCCCCCTCTCTCTAAAAAAAATCACACACACAATGCATGAAATCTCCTCCAGTGAGGATTAACAAAAAATAAGAGCCACACCAGCCAGGGCAATAAGAAAACATGATTTTCTCTGAGGAAAAAGGTGTTAGAATTGAGGATTCCTACAAAAATGGATATCACAGAAATCAGCAGAAGAAAGGTGTTGAGGAAACATTTACTTACCATTCATGGTGATTATCCACAAAAGCGGACATGGGACTTATCTGCACTGTGTATGTGTCATTGGCCGAATATTCGAATAAGCCGTAGTATGGGTTGAAGAGTTCCCTGGACACCAGGAAGAAGAACTCTCTGGAAGGTCCGCTGTAATCCAGCCTTTAAAGAAACCCACAAAAAGGACAACCAGTTGTATACTTTTTCCTACACATTAGACGCCTTTTCTACGGAGCTCGGCTTTCCACAGAACACGCATGGCAAGTCCGACCGCCCGCATTCCAGGACTGTCCAAAACCAACAGGACCATCCGATTTCCTGAGCGCATCCATGTCTTGGCCCAGGACCGCGAAATGCACATTTATGGGGAGCACATCCAAGACGAAAGCCACACAGCAGGTAGGGGATGCAGCAGGCAGTACGTACCTTGATGGTGTAAACAGATATGAAGAGGTAAATATTTTCGGTGTTTGGGGCCAGGTTATAAGGGAAGGGAGAACAGTGGGAATGCTCTCTTGAAAGAGGGCAAAACCAGAGGCCTGAGCTGCCTACCGCCAGGGACCTGGAGCCCTTCCTCGGGGACTTCTAAACACTTTTAAATGGGGGAGAAGGAGACTGAGTGCCTTGGGTGAGAGGCTATTACAGATGAAAGACCCCCTAGGAAGATCAGAGGCAAAAGAAAATGGAATGATAGAGTTCCAGTGAAAACTTTAAATTACAAAACACCAAGGAAGATTATAGACAAGAAAAATGAGGGTGTCAAAAGCTTCATCATGGAAGAATTTGGAGAAGAGGCTGAAACTCTAGCACTGACCTACCCTGTAAATCCCACCTCAGTCACAAGGACAAAGAGAAGCAGGAAAAATGACTATGTTAGCTTTGAGGAATGACAAGTGGCCAGCAATGCTGAGAGCAAGACATGCCGTCCAGAGGCGTTTGCAACAAGCAACTGGATACGTTAAATTTAAAGCAAAAAGTACAAAGGACGCCTACCCCATGATAAATGCTTATGCCTGGGCTCAGGGACAGGAAGGGACGGGGAGGGGAATGGAAGCAGTGGGTACGTTGGGCTGGTGGGATTTTTAAAAGACTTCATTGGCTCACTCTGCTTTTTGCCTCTTATGGAATTTCCTCCACGGGCCCTACTGCATTTTTTTTTTAAAGGAAGTCATCTGAGTCTTGTCCAGTGATGGAATTGGGTGATAGAGAAAAGAATCCTGGAATAGGTGGCAGATGGAGCTGGGAGACGAGTAAGAAACATAACATGACTTTTATTCAGAGTTGAGAGTTTCAGAGAATTTACTTGGAACAGACGTCAGCTAGTCACAAACTACTTTCTCAATGTTGGCCCTCTCTGAATACAGGCGTATGCTGTTTCCTTCATATTTCTCATGCAGTCAACTTTAAAGCCACTGGCTTTTTCAGCGCAGCCTTGTCTTACACAATGTCTCTGAAATTATGATGTGCTAGCTTTATTTTTCCTGATACCCATCAAAGGAAATACGTAGACATTAAAATAAAAAATGTCAGTCTGTGTAACAGCTAAGGCCTTCTCACACAGCCCCTGTGCACGCTGCACTGTGGGCGACAGAGTGTGGGCGGCCAGGAAGCCTACGTGTGCAGGAAACGCAAGCCTAGCGGCCTCTCAGGCCTGAAGGTGACATACTGAAACCGCCTCGGGGAAGATCAAGTCCATATTCCTGCCTACCGGACCCAGGTGGATGCAATCGGAGGGGCCCCCAGTTCCGGGGGGGGAGGGGCTCTGCTCAGAGTGTAGGGGCCTCCCGGGTGCAGGGCACAGACCACACCTCCGGGGTGCTGAGCTGGGCAGCCCTGTGGCTTCCTCCTCTGTCCTAATTTGATCTCCGATGCAACCACCACCAAGCAGACTGCTTCTTCCACTTGAGTGTTCTTCACATACTTAGAGGCTTTCTCCCAGCAAACATCTGAGAGCCTGTTACGCTCCAGGTGCTAATCTGGTTGCTGACCATAGACACTTTTTTTTGGAAAAGTCATGTTCTGTAAGAACTCTTATGTGCAGCAGTTTTCATATCCCGGGTCTCTCTCCCTCCCCACTCACCAACAGGCCTCTTCTCCCACCCCCTCTAGGAGGGGCTGGGAATTCCCTCTGCTGGGATCTGCTCCAGGCCCAAGTCTGACCTACAAGGCGGGGTCTAAGACTGGAGGTGCGGTCTCCTCTGCTGGGGCTCGGGCAGGGCTTTGCCCTCCTTTCCTGCACACTCTTCCCCATGAGTGCAGCTGAGAAGTGCCCACCCGTGGGGCAGCCGCCTTCCTGACTCACAGCGAGCTGAGTCATCGGCTCATACCTTTCTCCTGGGCGGCTGCAGCCCCGGGCTCTCCCGTCCTGTCTGCATGTCACCGAATCTGTTCAGAACCCAAGTGCTGGACGCTATGCTTTTTCCTACTACATTTCACTTTCTGAGATGGAGTCCATGATTCCGGTCTATCCAGGTCCTGGTGGATGCAAACCTTCTCTCTACATGTCCTACGGTGGTGAACTTCATCAGGTCCTATGTCTTTCCAGAAACAGAAAATGCCAGTGGTCCCCGACACCTTAGACGCCATTCTGTCCATATCCTCGTTTTACTGAGATGACTGGGACTGAAGGAAATCACTGATTGGCATCAAATAAAAGCGTGGTGGAGGGTCCGGGCCTTGACGCTGGCTTCCTGACCACCGCCCCTCCCCTGACCCCAACCCCATCACCCATCACTCCTCACCGCCTACCCTCAGGACATTGTAAATGTCTAAGACTAACAAGAAAAAGTCACTTTTAGACCAGGGTTGGTCAACTATGGCCTGGGGGCCAAATCCGGCCCGTCTCCCAGCTTTGTAAATAAAGTTTTATTGGAACACAGCCATGCCCATGTATGTGCTGTCTGTCTGTGGCTGCTTTTCTGCTAAGAAGGCAGAGTTGAGTGTGTGGGATGGAGAATCCCTGCAAAGACTAAAATATTTACTATCTAGCCCTTCTCAGTACAAGTTTGCCAACCCCTGCTACAGGAGAAAGTGGGAGGAACGTGCTACTTCATTAAAACACCTGGCTTACTATAGATCCCCTTCTTTCTTTCTTTTTTTTTTTTTGTTTTTTTTAAAATATATTTTATTGATATTTTGCAGAGAGGAAGGGAGAGAGATAGAGAGTTAGAAACTTCGATGAGAGAGAAACATCGATCAGCTGCCTCCTGCACATCTCCTACTGGGGATGTGCCTGCAACCCAGGTACATGCCCTTGACCGAATCGAACCTGGGACCTTTCAGTCCACAAGCCGACGCTCTATCCACTGAGCCAAACCGGTTTCGGCTAGATCCCCTTCTTGAGTGAAGGTTCCTTCAAGGAAATGGGAAATGACTACCGCATTCTAGGGCAGGATGGCGAACCTTTTGAGCTTGGCGTGCCAGCATTTTGAAAAATCCTAACTTAACTCTGGTGCCATGTCACATATAGAAATTTTTTGATCTTTGCAACCATAGTAAAACAAAGACTTATATTGTTGATATTTATTTTATATATTTAAATGCCATTTAACAAAGAAAAATCAACCAAAAGAATGAGTTCGCGTGTCACCTCTGACACGCGTGTCACAGGTTCGCCATCACTGCTCTAGGGTGGGTGCAACCTCAAGGCGTGGCCGCAACCAAGCGTGAGGCCCCGAGGGAGCGGTCCGAGCGCCGCGGGGGCTCTCGGACACAATCCCGGCCCCGATCCTAAGGGTCACGGGCAGCTGAAACACAAGCCACATGCTTTGAGTCACTGTTCGTACAAAGAGACAACTGGTCAAAGTAAAATGGCTTTTTAGCTGCTTAAAATTCAGCTGTGGCCTTCCGCTGGAAATAGCAGGTTGTTTGAGATTGGCCTCTCAGTGTCTAGTGCAGCCGTGGGCAAACTACGGCCCACATTGAAAAAAAAGACCGTACCCTTTTCTGTAATGATGTTTACTTTGAATTTACATTAGTTCACACAAACACTCCATCCATGCTTTTGTTCCGGCCCTCCGGTCCAGTTTAAGAACCCATTGTGGCCCTCGAGTCAAAAAGCTTGCCCACCCCTGGGCTAGTGACACCACGCTCACGGTGGATTATAATGAGCAGCTTGTGCGTCTGCCTCCTCTGTGCACACGTCGACATTGCTGAGGGCAGGGACTCTGTCGTCCTCATTTTTGTATCCTGTAGGGGCTCCATATATGTTGTTGAACCAACGCATGGAGCTCTCTACAGAAATCAACCTCCTTTACCTGGTGAGCTGGCACCTGGCAGAGTGAGTCACTTGGCACAGGTTTGCCTTCAGGTGGTATGTTGACTCAATGACTGAACAGGCTGTGCCCATCCCTAACTCCATTCACAAATACTGTCATAAATCACTCAAGGGAATGAGCCTTAGAGAGCTTGACGTTGGTCTAGTCCTTTTCAGGTGTCATAGCATCTACTACGGTCCAGTTTGTCAGGACAACAAAGAGGGACCTCATTGAAGGGTTCCTTTCTGATGACAACAGCTGGATCTGGCTGACCATCACATAAAATATTTCCTGAAAAGTTAAGCCAAAAAATAAAAACATCCCCCTTCCCTGTCCCCCAAGAGAGAACACAGCTACCAGTTCTCTGGGAGGAAAATGTATCGTCCTGAGCTGGTCAGGCTCTTCTCCACTGCTTTGCACTCCAGGAGCCCGGATGGAGTCCATCCAGGGCCAGCACAGCTTTTACAGTTTGAGTTGATTATAATCCCAAACTCCAGGACTGCACACCGGAGAGCCGGTTGTAGCTGCAAATGACAGGCCGACCTAATCCAATGAGACGTGTCCCAGCAAGCACCTGTGCCTGCGCTTCCTGGCTTCTTAGCAACCTCCTCCATGTAAATAGCTCCTCTGACTCATGTCCCAGGGATCCTTTGCCACATTCCTGTTTTGCCAGTTCGGTTGGTTCTGCAGCGACAGGCTTGGCACGGAAATGCAGAAACTCCGACAGCGGGTGTGGGGCCACCAGCAGCTGCCTGCCAGGGCATTTCGGAATCAGCACAGATGTCTTCAGGGGGGCGGTGCAGTTTTGAGCCCCGAGAAGTGCTGATAAAGTTTTTTTT